TCTCACTTCAGACCTGACATGGGTAGTAACTCCAATATTCTACTCTGTGGTTAGAATGAGGACATGGTCTGATTGGGGCTCAGCCTAATGTGTGAATTGTGTGTGTGTGAATTGTGAAGCTAGACTATTAATAACCTTGTAGCAACTGACCTAAGCCAGCTAATTTCTATCTACCTGGAACTTTGGGGATCTTTAGCTGTCTCAGGGAAGTCACATGCATAGATTCCATTGTGTTTCAATTTGTCATGCCATACCATATATGAAAGTCACTTATAGGACCTGTGTTACTTCTTGCACACTCAGGAGACTTGGCTTTTAAGCCCGAGAAGATAAACCAAAGATACTGTGCCCCAAAAGCAGCTGACATGTTATTCTTGCCATATTTTACCTCCTACTTGTTTTGGCTTGACAACACTTGCCTTCAACTGGCCTGTTCCAGGTCATTTGAAATCCCTGCACAGTTCCTAACCCATCTGTGTTACTTTCGGTTTCTGCTGTATTTAGGTTCCTTGACTGTGTGGATTTCTCTCCTTTTCCACTTTGCTTCTTTTTTTTTTTTTTTTAAAGATTTTATTTATTTATTTGAGAGAGAGACAGTGAGAGAGAGCATGAGCGAGGAGAAGGTCAGAGAGAGAAGCAGACTCCCCATGGAGCTGGGAGCCCGATGTGGGACTCGATCCTGGGACTCCAGGATCATGACCTGAGCCGAAGGCAGTCGTCCAACCAACTGAGCCACCCAGGCGTCCCTCCACTTTGCTTCTTAAAAGTTTAAATATAGACCCAGATTCAATCTTGTGGCCTTCTCCTGGTTAACCTACACTGGTCAGATGGAAACTTCCCAGAGTGTGCTCTTTGGCTGACTGGCTGTTGTGCCTTCCTTGCCTGTACCTTGCTTGACCTGGCTTCCTGACTATCTGACTTGGTGAACACTCTCCCATATATGTCAGAAGTATTTCTCAAATCTAGCACTTAGCAAATATCAAGAAGTAACCACATCAGTCAGAATCAATGAACTGGGGGTGTCCGGGTGGCTCAGTGGGTTAAGCCTCTACCTTCGACTCAGGTCATGATCTCAGTGTCCTGGTACTGAGCCACATGTCAGGCTCTCCACTCAGAGGGGAACCTACTTCCCTTTCTCTCTCTGCCTACTTGTGATCTCTCTCTCTCTCTGTCAAATAAATAAATAAAATCTTAAAAAAAAAAAAGAATCAATAAACCCCTTTGATAATTTGCATTCATTATGTCAGATTCTTTTTTAGTTACATTTTCTTGGTGGCAAACAGCAGGAACTTAACTTTTACTAGCATAAACAAAGTTATTGATATAATTTGAAGAGGGCTGGAACTGATGAATAACTTGATCTAACAACTTAAATTTTTCAGTGTTCTCTCTATTGGCTTCTTGCTTCTCTACAATTAGCTTTATACTTCCCTCTTGCTTTAAACTGACTTTCTCCATATAGAAGAGAATGTAATATAAAACGCAAACCATTTGTATTTCATAGTTTGGGCCGCCTAAGAGAGATTGATTTTCTGCTAAGTCACTAGTTTGATTTAGGGGTTCAATTAAATAGAATACCCAATATGGAAGGAGATTGTGTATACAGCAGGGCAGTACACATTGTAGAGATAAAGCTTAGAGGAACAACAAAAGTAACTAGGAAATTGGTTTGTATTAAGAATCTGAACCACACTTGATCAAAATGGCATGGACTCACATGATTTCAAAAGTGAGAAAAGAAACAGAAGCCAGGATGACCCAAGGGGAGATCTGAAATTAACAACTGGTGAGAAGAGCACACTCATGGGCCAGACTTAGAATTCGACTGCATTCTGTCACCACTTGGGATTTTTATTCTCTGCTGATACGTGCCATTGAGAACCATGAGGATTCCAAGAAGCTTCTGTGAAAATAGTCTGGAGAGGACTGTGAGGGTGCTGGAGCCACGATATGGGAGATCTGATCTTCTGAGAGCCGGATGTAGCAGCCCAGTGGGATACAGAACAGCCAACCATGACATCTCCTTGGTGATCAAGCCAGGGCTTTGCCAATGTCAGATGTATGTGCTGTGTCTGTGGATTCACACATTCCATACATTCTGTTTCTTAGTGACTTTAATATATACAGGCATTAATGGGGGATTCTGGACCTTTCTAAGTACCAGAAAGGAGCAATGAGCTGTCCACATAACATAGATCGTACTTTACAACATCTAGAATCAGCGGTTATGGAATAATCATTATTTTGTAAAAGCTGGACAGTTAAGAAATAGGGGCAGGTTAAGGAAAGAAAGTGACAGTGGATATTGGAAAAGTAGTCACAGTCTTGTTGGCACCAGAGGAGATTTTGGAGTTATTCTAGAAATGTTCTCCTGAGCTTACAAAGAGGCATGACTTTCCTTTATACCCGCACCTATACTTTGTAGCTACATTTAGTCAATAATTCCTAAGTATTTAATGAGATCCTTCAGTATACCTAAGTGCTGTGAAGAATTCTAGGAAAGCATACAATCCTTGTCACTTTTTAAATATAGAGTCCGATTAGAAGAACCAAATCTACATATATGAAACAGAAAATAGCAGCATAAACAGATGAAAGTGATAAATGGCATCATGTAAGAAAGGGGTTTCCATACAAAATTTATTCCTAGACAACATTAATGTAATTTATAACAAGAAAAACAAAAGTAAGATGGGTTGAATTCAATTGATGCATAGTTATTGATTAAACTGTAATAGATAGTAGGGGAAAATATAAATATTGGGTGTGATACTTGGAAAGCTTTTAGTCTGGTCAAGGAGACAAGGCCCAAATGTTTTGGGTCATCCTGGGAACCAATTAGAAAGCATGGAAGAGAGAGAGTCAAAACTGAAACACAGACTAGGAGGACAATACCAGTGACCATTCCGGCATCACCAGATTGCTTTCAATGTCTGGCATATGCAAGACCTTACAGAGCCTGCAGAGTGGCTTTGCTTTGCCTCAGTCTCATATGCTGCTCTAACTAGAGATCTTCAATCACTGCAGGACACTTGCAATGAGCCACCTAGATACAGCTTAGGGTGGAAAAATGGATTTTGAGGTCAGAAAGGCCAGTGTTAAATCTAAGCTCTCATTTTCTCTGAGCCTCTGTTTTCTCATTTATAATGTGGGTACAGTGATAGTGATGCTTCATAATAAGGTTTTGTGGAAATTAAAGAGGATATGTGTGTGCATTCTCATACATGGGCAAGTAATATCGATTTAATAAATAGTGCTTCACGTAGTCTAATCTTTAGTTTTCTTTAGTGCAATTATAGCCAACAACATAGCATTGAAATCTCTGGCACATAAACTGTTCACAAATCATTTGGTAATATATTCTTACAGTAGTTCATCTTTAGGGACAGTAATAATAATGTTTAACATTGATTCTGAAATTTAAGTTTACAAAGCATGTGAAATATATCACCTCACTTATTCTTCAAGCAATGCTTTCAGAAGGTGATCATCTCCATTCCCATTCTACAGAGAAGGAAAAAATGAGGCAAAGGGAGTTAGTGTAATTGCCCCCAGATCATACCATCAAGAAGTTGCTCAGTCCCCAACATGTATAATCAGGAGGTTGCCAAACCAAACTCAAGCCCAGGTTTTCTGATTGTAAACCTCCTGTTCTTTTCCCTATACCACAGGCCCATAAGCACTGTGTGTGTATGTATTTGGGGCTGGGGTTTTTTTTTTTTGGTGGGATCCAGTGGAAACTGTCTTTCTCCTATTCACCCTAAGGTACTTGTTTTTAGGAGTTAATGAATAAACTGTGAACATCTAGCTGACCCACCATGTAGATATGTAGACCAGGGTCCTGCTCTTAATGCCCAGTGTGTTGTGTTAAAGCATGGAATTTTGTGTTGTGAAATCTGCTGGATTGCCATTTGTTTTATCATTCTATTAGGATTCCACAAACACAGATTGACATTAAAAAGCTGTTAACTCTGTTAATTCCAGAGGGCACAGCTAATGAAATGTCCCGAAAGTTGAGCACTTGCCAAAGCCACCATGTCTTATAGGACAGCTCTTGATTAATCATGATGAGAGTATTTCCTCTATCTAAATGAAATCTGCAATTTGGGAAGGAGATTAAAGATCCTGCAGGGGATGAAGGAGAAAATGCTGTGAAAATTCTAGAAACTAGGAAATAAAGATAGGTCTACTCAATATTCATGAAGTCAGATTGGTGGATGCAAATAGATCGCAATCTCTTATTTGCTAATGACTTGGCTTGTAGCACTTCTGTATCAGTTTTACACAGTTTCCTGCTCAACTTTAAAGAGAATGACTGCAGTTTGTACTAATTTCCTTTTAAAAAAATTAGCATACCCAATATGATTTTATGCCATCTTTGATGATTTTTAATTTCCTCTTGAAGGATTTCTAAGGTAGGTGTTCAGAAATGCATACATGACCAAAGATAGGATAAAGAGTACATAATAGGTAAGCATCTATAAGATTTCAATGAGTGACTCGAGAGGAAAAAAAAAAAAAGATGTCAATGAGTGAACCTATTTTCAACATATTCTAAAAAGGCAGTTTAAAGAGAAGGATTGCAAATGCTGGCTTGGGTTTAAGTTTGCTGCCATGAGAGAGAAGTTAAATTTATTTTGTACAGCTATTTTATAAGGAAATGCTATATGTTTTTAACTGTCACCCAATTTATTAGAAATTCTTACCTCATATGCAGCTCAAATCCTCACCTCCTACTGTTGAGCAGAATTCAAGAGAAAATGAGTAGAAGTGCAACTGCTTACTTCATTTCATCATATAGCAAATGCAGCAAACACATATTTGAAGGAGGAGGTTGTAGCAAACGTCAGGGTATTTCATGTATCCCCCAAAACCCTGACACAGTGCCTGTACAGTTCCTCAAGAAATGCTTTTGAACTCTGTTAAGTCTGTTTAACAGATCCTATCTCAAAATAGACTACTTTTTTATTTAATTTGTTTTTTCTGTTTCTCTTTTTCAGGCCAGCCCTGCTCCTATAATTGTCAACACAGATACTTTGGACACGATTCCTTATGTAAGTAACATTTTTATAAGATTTTCTTTACAAATTATGTTGGAACTTAATCAGCTAAATATAAAATTCAGTACATATTCAGTTTTATCCAATCCAGATAATCTGAACTGTATAGGATGAGTTTTTTGAGTTTTGTTTTGATATCTGTTAAATCTCAGCTTAGTCATGCAAATAGTTACCTCTTTCATTCACTGTTTTCTAAAGCACAAGGACACATCATGAGAAAAGGAAAAAAAGAAGTCGATTATATTCAAATAATGTTAGTTTCCTAGGTGTTTTCCTGAAAAAATAATGAATTGCTTATAGAAGAGATGGATAAACTTTTTTGGGTCTCTTAGTAAAGGGATACTCAAATCAATTTCTATGGCAGGGCTGAGAACATAAGTAAGCTATCAGTAAATATTTAATGGATTTTGCTGGGCTTCTAACGAGAGTTGTAACAAATTTTGGTGAGAGGTGGTCTATCTATACATAATGAGACCTGTGGTTTTATGAAAGCCTGAAGCATGAGATAGGTGTGAAGATCAAGCAGGGCAGTAAAGTTTGGGATTCTGTACCTGAAATACACCACCTATAAGGGCCAAACTTCTTGACAACAAAGTCTGGCAGGGGCAGGAGAGATTGGGGGGTGGCAACAGTCCACAATGTGGGTAAGTGGTTGACATCATGGAGGCCCAACAAGGCTTTCTGAGCCGCCCTGGCTAATGGATAGAGAATAGTGATTGGGGAAGATGCGACAGACACAGATGCATGCAGAGAGAGAATTTGAAGCAAGGAGAAGGACTGCAGGGATAACAGATGAGAACAGATTCCTAGTCTTTGATTAAATGAATAAAACTAGTGAAGCAATTGAAAGAGTACCTGGCACAAAGGAAATGCTTGGTAAGCATCAGCTATTCTGAATCTCAGACCCCCACTCAACCTCAAATGCCTACACAGAGCAAGTAACACAGAAATACATAGGGCAGGGGGCGTGGGGACGGTAGGAAATAGAGAGCACGTGGCCTTCCAAAGGGGGCAGCTGCCACTTGGCTCCAGTGGGTGGTACCAAGGGGGAAATGAGGACCAAGTGCTGCCAGGTCATCCCATTTTTCCAGAGAAGTTGTAAATTTGAATTTTTATGTAAAATTTTTGGAATTTTTAAATACAGGCAGCTGATTTTCTGAAGTTCATACACGGTGTGCCAAAGTGTGTCCAGTCCCGAGGCTGCCCTTTGGGAGGTATCTGCCTCAAAGGAACTGGAGATCCTGAGCAGGTCCTCCAAGCCAGGACTCACCCCCAGGGGAGCAGAATGCTAGAACTGGAGTACAAGGTTGGGACTTGATTACAGGAACAAGTGACTAAAACTGGGACACAGGGTCAGGACAGGAATAACAGAAGCTTGACTTGATGCTGACTCACCTGAGCTACTGAGCTTCTTAAATCTTTCTGAACAAGAGTCATTTAGGGTCAGACAAGAAATGGGTTAAAAGCTCACTGGTAGGAATCAGCGGCCCCAGCTGAGGAAAGAAAAGGACTCAGAAGGCAGCAAAGCAGTACGTTAAAGACACATAGAATCCACTATTCTATCTCTTACTCTCCCTATCTTCCTTCATTTATCAAACATTTATACTGGGATTACGGTACATCTGACACTAAGCGCTTGACAAATATTAACTCGATCCTTAAAACAACCCTATGAGATAGGTTCTATTACTTTCTCTATATTATAGGTAAGAAAACTGAGTCATAAAGCGATTAAGTAACTTTTTCAAGTTTGCGTTAGTGGCAGAGCCAAGAATGAACCTGGGTAGCCTGGCTAAAGAGTTTCAGGTCTTACTTAACTCCTGTCATGTAGTTGCTTCTGTTTCCTTCTCCCCTCCCTTATTTTCTGCCTCTCATTGTGGGAAAAAAGCATGCTTTCTCCTCTGCCATAGGTGGCTTTGGGTGGAAGACAACTTGTCACAGAGGCTCCAATACCTTTGGGGTACGGAACCATGTATATTAAGGAATTCTGTATTTATACTCTAGTTAGTTTTTTGCTATATCCATTGGCAAAAGCAGATGAGCAGTGCTTTAAAGTAGGCATTAAACACAGAGACTTGATTTTGTAAGTAGGACTGCTTTCTTGTGGTAGATCTGTATTATTTCAAAACCTTTTATTAGGATTCTCATGCCTTAACTGCCAGATGCCCTCATGTACAAATAATTTATCAATAGAATCTAAGGATTTTGGGTAGACATGCTTGATTGATAACCCAACTAATCGGCTAGTAAAATCAGCCACATATAACAAATTAATCAAATTGCTTTCTATTCCCTAAATATAGACTTTGTACATGACTTCTTCATGGCCTTCTTCAAAGGCCTTTTATTTTTTAATCATTTTTTAATTGTGTTACGTTAGTCACCATAAAATACATCATTAGTTTTTGATGCAGTGTTCCAAGATTCATTGTTTATGCACCACACCCAGTGCTCCATGCAATACGTGCCCTCCTTCATACCCACCACCAGGCTCACCCATCCTACCGTGCCCCTCCCCTTTAAAACCCTCAGTTTGTTTCTCAGAGTCCACGATCTCTCATGGTTCATCTCCCCCTCCGATTTTTCCCCCAGTTCAATTTTCCTTTCCTTCTCCTAATGTTCTCCATGTTATTCCTTATTTTTTAATCTTTAATATTTTTGTACTTAATGCAAAACCTCTTTGAGCTTCCTTAAGAGTAGGATCTTTAGAGAGGTTTGCTGAGTAGCTCAGTATGGTGAAAATGTCCCAAAGTGTCCCCTGGCAATGTATTCTTCAGCAACTCATTTAATTTTTCTGGATCCAAATTAATCTTTAAAACAGGAATTACAACACCTACCTCAGAAGTGGGTGTGGGGATGAAATGAAATTATGTGTGCAAAATCATGCTTTGTTAACTTGTGGTTCATAGGTGTGTGTTTATAATTTTATTTAAATAATAAAAACTTATTAGGTAACACATGCTAGATCCTGAGAGAATGGTAAATATGACTGTCTTTCCCCATATGTGAGTACATCGTTTATTAAAAATGGCAAACTTAGTACATAGCCATTAATGTAGATATACTCTGGGTCTTGGCATGGGTCCAACTCTCCTCTTTGTTCCTGACTCACTGGGTAACCTTGAACAAATCACTGTTCCATTTGCAGGCTATTTTCTCATTCCCCAGTGTTCTATACTTTGTTTTCCTCTTTTCTTTCTCATGTTCTAGTTGTTCACATAATTTCAGATCTATTTAATGAAAAAACGATCTCAGAGCTCCCCAGAGCATTTCAGTCATGTTGCATAAGAACATTTCCTTTTTTTAACAATATTACCTAAATGACAAATTTTAACATATATTACCATCTTTCTTACAAATAATTTCATTGCAAGTAAACATATTAATTTTGCCAATTAGCAAGTTTGAGTTTAGAAATACATTGTCCTCATGGAAACAATTCCTTGGCATGCATGCAAACAGCATATGAATAGAAGAAATCTGTGGTCAAAGGACATTTTTCATAAAGGCACAAAAAATATTTAAAGAGATATCTGCCCTTTTTTTAGGACAGTAAGTTAAGGGTTATTAGAGCTTCTAAAGTGTCTGCCATTAACAAAGAAGGGGTCAGTGAGGTTCTTATGTAAAAATGCTTCAAATAAACTCATTCCTGCATGTTGTCATGATATTGTAAGGTTGAATAGGACCTTACTTGCGGTACAGTCCCCCCTCTCTTGCAAAGCTGGAACCCCTACATGAAGATTAAAATCATTCAAGGAAAAGCAAAGAAAGAAAAAGCAAATTGCTATTTCAACACTGTAGTTTACATTTTTCCCTCCATCTTTTTATTATTCCCTATTACATGTTAAATATTATCTTATGATAGATGCTGAAAATACTTGTTCTTAGAGAGTTCTGGGGGCTCCAATTAAATTATGAGCCTGCATATGATCTGTATGTCTACATCCCTGAAGACTGACTTAGTAAAAAGGTAGCATGACGCCCTCTCAGTACTCTGCAGCCAATAGACACGGAGGCCTCCTCTCCTGACATACTTTGCCCCTCAGTAGACCTGTCAGACTCCTATACTGAACAGCATCCAAACCAACCCCAGTCTTTCTACTTTAGAAAAATAAAATTGAGCAGAGAGATTCTAGGATCCTTTTCTCTTCATTCTTCTCCGGACATCATTTCATAGTGGTTATATTTTGACTTGTTTTCTGGAAATATGCTGTGGGAAGTGGTATACTCAAGAACCATGAGTTTTAAATCTTGTTAAGGAACTTGGGATCCAATGAATGCAAACCTCTCATTTTACAGATACAGATATTCGAGCCCAACCAGTAAATGGTAGAGCTTGGTCTATCATTTACTTTTACTCCACATAAGAGTCAGTTTTTGGTGGGCAGCCAATAACCACATAATCAGTGGCTCATAACAATAAGTATTTATTCTCCCGGAAGTGTCTGCTGGTTGGCTGGGCCAGCTGCTTTAGGCTGCCGGTTACCAGGTTAGCTAGGGCATCTCTGCTTCACATGTTTCATTCAGGGGCCCAGAGGGGGGACAGTACTACCCAAAGGATATTCTTTTCATTGTGATGGCCAAAGCACAAGAGGACAAGCCCAGGCACAAACACAGTTGAGAGCTATGTTCACATCACATCTACCAACACCCCACTGGGCAAAGCAAGTCATATTGCCAAACTCAAAGTAGAAGAAAGAGTGACTATTTGCTAAATGAAAAACAAAGTTACTATACCAAAGTCTTAAATAAAAGGGCTAAGAATTTATGTATGTACTTTGTAAGGAAAGCAGGTACAAAAGAACGAATCTTATGCTTTAAAAATATTAGTAGGTCAATGATAATAAACAATTGAAGTGTCAAAGGGACCTGGTTCAACTGATATGGGAAGTGAGTGTCTAGATTATTAAGGATGTTTAAGGGAAACTATTGAGATATAAAAGAAAACTCTAGCAAGTACTGACAATATAATGACCTTACTTTTCTTTGAGACA